CAATTTTGAAAAAAATTAGAAATTGCATTTCTAAGCATTGTCAAATGTCAAAAAAACTCGTCTCGTTCATTAATATCCTTTAGGGAAGGAAACTGCCATCCTGATGTGATCTGGCCTACATGTGACACCAGACCTAAGGCAATGTGATTAATTCTTAATAGTTAATTAGGGATTAGACAATTAGGGATGGCCAATAAATGCTGGCCTAACCAGTGAGGCCCACATCCCATAAATGAATTAAAAACTTGGTTTAAAACAAAAGCTGCACAATAGGTTCTAATGGGGATCTGACAAGGTGCATACATGGAAATATATCATGATGCTAGTTGAGGTGGCCTAAATAACTTTACCAATAATCTGGTGCACCATCTCCTCCAATCGGTCAAATATAAGCAATCGTGCCTCCTCTCCCCGCCCCTGTAGAGTCTCTTTACAGGTTCCTCCGATTGGGTCTTACTTTACCCAGCAAGAGATATAGAAGAGTATCATTGAGTTTGTTTGGTTAATTGGTCAGAGCTGAATTCCCAGATGTATGCAGAATCTGAGAGATGTGCGTCTGATAAGTGCTTGCAGGTGATGTTGTGCATATGTTAGACATGAGCTGTGGTTGTTTGAATTTACAGATGGGGGAGCTGAGCATAATGTGAAGTTGGCCATGTGGTATGTAGGTGACGCTTTAGAAGATGCATTCACTGACCTTGACCATTTGTGTACAGTTATCGAATTTTTTGAAATATTGCAACCAGATCTTCAGACTCCTTCTGTTGACCTCTGCGTAGAGTGGCTCCCATTCTTTTTTCGGTCTCGGGAACAGAACCTCACCGTCTTTCCAACACCAAAACTTTCAGTGCTAAATTGAAGAACCAATTGGATTCTCTCACTCTCGCTACTCCATTGATGTTGTTTACTTGTTTGCTTTCTGAAACTATTTCAAGACCTGCAATTTAATTCCTTTAATATTGCAGGCTGCCTTTAATGTTTTAGCTTCACAGGAATGTGGATTCCATGTTGTGCCTGTTGCTGTTCACTGCTGAGGTGTGTGGTGCAGCTGTAGAACCAAGCAGATGGCACATGTTTTCCTTGCTGCCTGCATCACCTCAGTCATGTGGGGTAACTGCACATTCCAATTTCTAAGCCTGTAAATCAGCTTTGTTGGAGTTTTAGCCCTAAACTCAGCAACTACAGTCAGTCAGCTTCACTTTAGTGGTGAGAAAGCTTCTAGAATTAATAATGTGCAATGAAGTTGATTGTTACTTGGGCAAATATGGGTTTATTAAGGAAGCCAGCATGGATTTAATGAGGGGAAATGTGCTTAACTGTTTGGAGTTTTTTGATTTAACAGAGAAGGTTGATGGGAGTGACATGGTGCACGTTGACTTCAAAGAAGCATTTGATATAATGGCAAACAGATTTATGAACGAAGTGCTAACATGGATATAACATTGGTCGAATGAAACAGAATAGTGGCAATGGATATTTTTAGGTCTGAGGGAAGAATTCCTAGCTGTGTTGGGGCTCTGGCCAGATGTATATTAATTACCAAGAAGTTGTTACAGCAGCCACAATTTTAGCATTTGCGGATGACTCAAAACATGAAAGTATTGTTAGCCATGAGGATTTTGTGGAACTTCAAAATGATATAGAAAAATTATGGAAAAAGGTAGCAAATGGCAGATTAATTAAATTAAATGCAGAGAACTGTGAGGTTCCTTGTACAGGAGGAACACAAAGTATAAGCTAAAGGGAACAATTCTAGAGGGCCTGCAGATGTAGAGCTACTTGGGTACATGTATGCATACATCATTGAAGGTGATGGGGCAGGTTAAGAGAGTACTCAGCATACAGTTTCTTAAGCATTATTCGTGGTGCACAGAGTACTGCAATAAGGAGATTACAATAAATTTATATAAAATGCTGCATTGGTTTTATCTAAGGTATTGTGCACGTAACTGGGCACCATACTTTAAGAAGAATCTGAAAACATTAGAGAGAGTGCAGAAAGGAAAGATTGTCAATAATGATTCCAGGGATAAAGAACTTACTTTTGTAGGTAGATTGCTAGAAATTAGGACTCATTTCCTTGGAGAAGATGAGGTCAGAAGGAGATTTTACAGCAGTATTCAAAGGTGCCTGGGCAGACTACAGAAATTGTTGCCATTTGTGAAAGAATTCAGAATCAGCAGGACAGATTTCAGGTATTCGCAAAAGAAGTAATGGAGACATGAGGAAAATCTTTTTCATACAATAAATGGTTAAGATCCAGATCGTGCTGCCTGAGAGAGTGGGGGAGGCAGATTCAATTCAGATATTGAAGGGAGTATTAGATTATTATCTGAAGAGAATGAATTTGCAGGGTTACAGGGAGAAAGCTGGGGAATGGCACCAAGTGCATTGCTTATTTGGAGAGCCACCATTGATATGATGGACCAAATGGTGACCTTCTGTGCTGTAATGATACTGTTTATGAAACAAAATATGTTTTAGTCTTGGCTGAATTATCATTATGGTATGTAGGTGGGTGGGATCTACACAAGATGGACGGATTACACTTTAACACTAGTGTTAAAATTAGCTTATCAGCTGGATAGGAGCCTGAGAGGCGCTTCAGTTGGAGAAAAAGAAAGTTTTTTTTTATGGGAAATACAAAACATAAATGACAAAGATTAATTACAGAAGAAGGCAGAATTAAAGGCACTCGATGTGAATATACACAGCATTTGCAATAAGGCAGGTGTTTTTATGGTGCTAGAAGCAGTAAACAGGTAGGAATTAATTGCCACTACAGAGAAATGGCTGCAGAGCAACCAAGTCAGAAAACTGAAGGGATGGGATGAGTGTACTAATGATGGAGATTTCCAATTGGAAGAACAAAATGTAGAATCTGTGTGAAGCTAAGAAATAGGGACAACCAATAATTGGTTTGAGTGGTTTGGTTTATGGGCTGCCAAATAGTAATGACAATGTAGGGCATGATATAAATCATGAAATTGTAGGTGCAAATAGCAAAGGTAAAGGACTGGGTATATCTAATGAGCAGCAATACTGTGGAAGAAGAATGTCCAAGATTTGGAGCAATATGTTGAGAACCAATTAGGGAACAGGCTATTGCGATGGAGCGAGAAAAATGGAATTAAGAGTTCTTGTAAAATAAGTTTTTAAGTTTGATTAAAGATGTAGTTCCATCTAAGTCTGGGATCTTAACTTCATAATTGCCCTTGTTTGGATTTATATGGACAAAGTTGGCTTTTTTAAAAAAATTCTTCATTCAGGGGATGTGGGAGTCACTGGCACTTATTGCTCATCCCTAATTGCCCTGGAGCTGAGTGGCTTGCTAGGCCTTTTGAGGGCAATTAAGAATTAACTACATTTCAATGGATTTGGAGTTGCATGTAGGCCAGAACAGGTAAGGACAGCAGAGGTTGGCTGTGGTGAACTGAAAAACAGCATTGAAATCTTTGACGGTGGGTAATGAAAGGCTTGTGTAATTAAAGAATAATGCTTGGTTTACAAAAAACATGTATTCCTTTTTAAAGCAAAAATATCCAACAGGAAAAGCAAGACAGCTTTGGCTAATGAAGAATTTTAAAGAACGGTAGTCAAAGTTGCATACTTGTAAAGTTATCTTAAAAAAAGGTTGTAATCATGATGGCTTTTAACACGTTTCCAGACTCCGTGGTCATTGAGAACATCCTTCCTGCATTTACCCTGCCAAATCCTGTTAGAATTTTATAGGTTTCTATGAAATCGCCTCATTTTTCTAAATACCAGCTAGCATTAGTAAAAAGTAGTAGTGTTGGAGAAACTAATGGAACTGAAAGTTAACAAATCCCCAGGGCCCAGTGATTTTTATCCTAGAGTATGAAAGGTGTGATAGTGGATGCATCAATGATCATTTCAAATTCTGTTCATATTTCTGTGTTACCTACAAATTACAAAGTTGCAAATGTAATTCCTATTTAAGAAAGGAGAGAAATAGAGAACCAGGAAATAGACGGATGCCAGTGGGGGGGAAAAAAACTAGAAGCTATACATAACTACTGCATACTCAAAAAAAAAAATTCAAGAGATTTGGACAGGATGTGTGAATGGGCAAGAGCATGGCAGATGGACTGTAAGGTACATAAATGTGAGGTTATCCACTTTAGTAGAGGAACAGAGGTTCAGGATTTTTTTTTTAATAGTGAAAGATAGGGAATTGTGAAAAACCAAAAGAACTGTGGATGTTGTAAATCAGGAACAGAAACAGAAGTTGCTGGAAAAACTCAGCAGATCTGGCAGCACCTGTGAAGAAAAAAATCAGTTAACATTTCAGGTCCAGTGGAGGAAGGGTCAGATGCTGCCAGACCTGCTGAGCTTTTCCAGGAATTTCTGTGATTGGAAAATTGTTGCCCAAAGGGATCTAAGCATCCTTATGAATCCGTTTGGCAGACAAATGGTACTTTAAAGCCATTATTGTAAGAGGTTAGGAGTACAGGGGCAAAGAAGACTTGCTTTAATTGTATAAAACATTGGTGAGAACTCACCTTGATTATTCTGTGCATTTCTGGACCCCTTGCAAAAGGGAAGATATATTTCTCATGGAGGACAGTACAGGTTCACCATACTGATTCCTGTGATGGCACAATTTTATGAGAGATTGAGCAGACTGGGCAGTTTAGACGAATGAGAGGCAATCTCAGAAAATCACAAAATTCTTAAAGGGATAGGCAGGGTAAATGCAGAACAGATATTTCCTTTGGCTAGGGATGGGAGGGACTCTAGAATCATGGAATGCAGTTTCAGAATAAAGGGCAAGCCATTTAAGACCAAGATGAAGAGGAACCTTATCCCTCAGTGCGGTGAATCTTCGGAATTCTGTACCCCAGAGGAGGGTAGTCTTTAAGTAAGTTCAAGACAGAGCCTGATGACTTCTCGTTACTAGTGACATGAATCTTTTACTCAGTAATGATTTTACTGAAGTTTAATTTGTTTGCTTGTCTTATTTGTTTCTTCACTTCTAGATGTTCTTTGAAGATCACATTGATGATGCCAAATATTGTGGCCACCTGTATGGTCTTGGCTCAGGTTCATCCTATGTTCAGAATGGTACGGGAAATGCATATGAAGAAGAAGCCAATAAACAGCAGCCTTGACCGGAAATGGGGAGATTAATTTTTTGGGCCACATATACTGGATCTAATTTTTATCTGTGTCTGAGTTCTTTATGTTCACTAGATTTGTGCCAACTTCTTGGTCATTTTGACCTTGGTAAGGAAACTCCATGATCATATAATTTGCCCATTTGGTTCCAATGCAGATTTTCTTTAACAAAGATTGCTGGAGAAAGTGGGAAAAATAATTATCTGGATGAATTTTCAAGCAGTTATTTTCCCCTCTTCTTCCTAAAAGCATGCAATAAGTATCAACTGGTTATTTACCATTCCCATCTAATACATGGCACTTAAAATAAAAACAGGAATTTTAGCTATTCAGGATTGTGGACCATCGAATTTGCACTTTAAAGAGTGACTGGTTCCTCTATTTTATGGGAATTTTGCTGCTTCTTCTTCTCACAAGTGAGATGAGAAAGCCCAGAAACTTGAACTACTTCACACCATTGAGTTAACTGTTTATGGATTTTCCGTGCCTGCTGGCTTAGTGTGACAGCATCTCTGCTACCAGTTTGTGGTAACAAACAATATTACCGAAGCTCTTGTATTTGCTGCAGTTGAAGAAGGAGACCTGTAAGTGTTGCCTTACAATTTTTCCTTTTGACATCAATTTTTTCTGGGAATGCCTCCCATACACACAGTTCTAACATATCAGAAGTGCAGCTAGCTGAACCAAAACCAGCATCTGACATGCTTAGTGCTGCAGCTACTATGCCTGTTTGTACATGAACTGCATTGTTGCAATGAAATAAACCTTGAATGAGTTTAATTTCAATTTTAAAAACTTACAGTTTATACTGATCACACCCCTGCACTGATGTCATTGGTGCCAGATTATGTGATGTAATATTGTTTATGACAATGAGCATTTTTCAACTGAAGAATTTTCTGAGATTTTTAAAACATCAGCTTTATTATAAAATGTATATTTTCATTCTTAGTGGCAGTAATTACAACAATGCAGGAGCACCTCAGTTAACACCAAAGCTAGGCTTCCTCCAAAAAGTTTAAAGTGGCACTGTCCAATTTACATAGAATTTTTAACTTCACTTAGGGTTTTCTTTGATTAAATCCTTTTCAAACAAAATATTACAGAAATGTCATTTAACTGCATTTTAACCAGTGTTTTTATTTCTGACTCACCTTCCTGTCTACCTAGTGGAGTACCAGGCTTCAAATTCTCTCTTGCTCACGGCTGTGTTTTTTCTGTAGATCAGATTGCAGGAAGCACATGTTCACAAGTGAAAAACAGTTTAGTTTTCCTCTTTTGGAACACCACATTTTTTGTGGCTTAGCTGAAAACTGATAATAATCGTTTTAAGTTGCTGTCTGCTGAGATTCATGCCCTTGATTTGGAGAGATAGGCAATTCTTTCTGTACTAGCACAGTGCAAGGCTAGACATGCATTCTGAAATATTGGATTGTAATGCTGTTATGGCTTTCAAAGTGGCTGTTAACATGTACATCCCAGAATTAATGACAATTCATAATTAACACTTCAGTACCACTGTTTTACTTAGCATTTTACTTCTGTAGGATCAAAAAGGTGAAATTTTAAAAATCTTTGAAAAGCCAGTCTTGTCTTTTTACAGTATTGCAATTCCATGAGTAGCATTAAGTACGTACATCAACTAAGTGATGCTGGTTTTGATGCAGCATGACTTGCTATGCAACCCCTTTAGTACATTATATATGAGCTGTAAATACTATGTGATATATTGAGTCTTATGCATTGTATTCTGCATGCATCTAGAGCAGCTGAGCAGGAAGACCTGTAGCGATTAGCTGGTACTTGCCTCAAACCATCAAATGCATGTTGCAGAATTCAGTCCATCATTATTAGATTTCAACGAGCTTAGCGATAGGTCAAAATCCCCAGACCAATGTGACGACAATGTAATTAATGTGTTCTGTTCTTTCATTATGTTACAGAACTGTAACTTAATGGACCTTTTATAAAACAATTATGTGAAGACAAGGTATTATTTGTTTTTAAACCTTTTTGTAAATAAAGGCTTCAAATTTGTTTCTTACTTACATAAGGTCTGGTTGCTTGTATTTTTTGGTTCAAGATGCCCATCATATTTCTCGTGGTTCATTGGAATGAAATAAATCCTATTGTTTCCAGCCTAACCAGCAAACTGAACAGCACAAATTATCTTGTGTATTCCAGTTGAACTTAGGAAAGCAATTGCTTGTTTAGTGGCTTTCATTCCTTCACCTATTGTCTCTGTGACCTGCAAGGTGTAATAAGTTAATCAAAAGCAAATGGGTACTAAATATAATGTTCTAATTTATAATTCATATTAAGTCTCAAGCGTACCATTCCACATAAGATTATCTGTAGGATAGTTTCTTGTTTAATATTTATCTCATTTTAGACTTGGGTTAAGATCTAAATCTGAAAACTGTCTTTAGGTTATTTTATTTCTCCTATCATCATCAGCACCGTTCTCTGGTTGACCCATAGGAGATATTTCTACGGTTTCCTTCAGTAGTCTGCTCTGAATTAACGTCTGTTGCAACCCAAGAAAGTGTTACTCAGTCAAGAACAGTAAAAAAAACTGCTTTTTGGTATTGTTTTTTAAATTCACATGTGGGATGTGGGCATTGCTGGGCCAGCATTTTATTGACAGTCCCTAGATGCCCTTGAGAAGGCATTGGTGTGCTGCTGCCTTGAACTGGTGCAGTCCACCAGTGCTGTAGGTAGACCCACAATGTCATTGAGAAGACAAGTCCAGGATTTTGACCTAGTGACACTGAAAGAACGGTGATACATTTCCAAGTCAGGATGATGAGTGGCTTGGAGGGAAACTTGCAGGTGCTGGTGTTCTTATGAATTTGCTGTCCTTGTCCTTCTAGATGGTAGTTGCACTCATCCAGACTTGCAGATATATAATTATAAGGTAATTGTTCATGCATTCCCAGTGCCAGTTATCTTATAAAGTTTGTAAACTTTTAGTGCCAACTCTTTATCTTAATATTTAGTTTGAATATTATTACAGCAAAATCATCTTGGAAATATATGGCTTTGTTAGATTTCCTGCCACACAGGAACTTTTATGACATGAGATAGGTTCTTGATTGTCATGGGGATCATGGGTTAAGGGGAGAATGGGGTTGAGAAACTTATCAGCCACGATTGAATGATGGAGCAGACTCGATGGGCTGAATGGCCTAATTTCTGCTGGTATCTCTTATGGTCTAAAATAGAAACTAAGAATGAGAAAGAGCAAATGTCCTGGAAACTGTCAGTTACAGGAGTTGTCCTAACCCTAACTGATCAACGTGGGTTGCTTGTCTTGAGGCAACAACTACATTAGAGCTAAAATACTTTTTCTTGTTCTATATCTTCAGAACTTCCATATTGATGGCAAAGTCTTTGACAGTCTCAATTTACAACTGGCTTCAATTAATACCATGGTACAATGTGATTTTGATATTGGTCAAGTTATCTAACTTGTAAGATGAACTTCTCCAGGGTTGATTATATTTGATAACTCCATATAATAAATCGAGCTCTTTGCAGATATTGGCATAAGGGTGAGATCGGGAAACAGACGATTCCTTGCCTCAATGGTGACTACTGATAAGCAAAAGTACTTCTTGCAGCACAGTTTGCTTACTTTTTTAAACTGGAGATTCATGAGAAAAAAACGGACAAACAAGCCTTGCTTGAAGGTAACATTTACTCTAGATTTAAAATTGCAGTTCATTTATTGCACTAAAATTATAAGAGTATAAAACAATCACTTGAACAATCAATTCAGCGTTGATTGTAGATCTTCCTGGGCTACGTAGGATCACTTGATTCCAAGTTACTCCTTTCAAACTGCACTGCCAGTTTTTTTTGTATTATCTTTACCCTTTTTTGGATGGACATAAGTTGTTTCATTGACAGAACCTTACTGTCCAACACCAGTTCATTTAAATACCATGGGGTGGAAGCTTACATTATTAATTATATCCTGTGTTGTTCCTTATGAGCAGTTTTGTCACTCTTGTGAAATATCCTATTTCTAACCTTCAAAACAATTTTTAGGGGTTTTGTTCATTTTGATCTGTTAATTGTTATTTATGGTTCAGAACTCTTTATAATTGTTGTCTAATCCACTGTCCTCCTTTCTTTTCAAAATATTGAATCATAAAGTGCTTTACTATGGTTCTACATAGTAGGGTTTGCATTTCAGCAATCATCTTAAGGGTAACTGAAGGATTTAACTCTAATTCAAAGTGTGATTGCTTGTTGTTATAAAGGTCCTCTTAATAATCAGTAAGGCTGTGGGCATTGCACGCAGACACATTATTGCAGGACAGAGTCTAGTCTTCAGCCATGTTCTAATGATCCTTGTTAATGTTTGGTTTAGAAATGGCTTGCAGTAGTTTAAGGTTATTTTGAAAAGTCTGTGCTTTGCAAAACATGCTGGTACATAAAAATTGGTTAAGTTTTTGGCCAACTTGTATCAAACCTGTACTTCTTCAAACAAAAGCAAAAATTACTGGAAAAACTCAGCCGATTTGGCAGCATATGTGGAGCGAAAGCAGAGTTAAAATTTCAAGTTCAGTGACCCTTCAGAACAGTTTTTGTTTTGGGTGTCTTTGGTTAGTTTTTCTGTACTTCTACAAGGTGGATGCGATGGCTGGTTAATTTTTGAACTTCACCCATACTTAACACTCAAGATACTCAGTTTTTAAAATTATTCTGTTGCACATTTTAGAGATGACAATCTTTCACAAAATATATCTTGGAAAAAGCCCAACACACTTGCCAGCTATGAAAGGTGCACTCTTGCAACCGGTTATAAGTTAAGCTGGGTCTATACTGACGAAAATTTATCGAGAGGAAAATGGAATATGCTTACACAGGATGACCCAGCCATTAAGAGAATTCATCCTAACTAATGTGATTATTATTAAAAAATAGATATTCATTGAATCATTAATTAAAGAATGCAACAAAGTATCACTGATATTCGAATTTG